TTTAAATACACATTTTTACATCTTAAAGACGCCATAGATAATTTGTCGAATTATGGAAACCATTGGCCATCTTCGGCAGTTTTTCTCGCTTATAGCTATTTTTGGATATCTAAATTTGTTTGATTTCTTACCGGGCCTCTAACATCCGCTCAAACACAAAGCACAAATAGCTCACCTTTTGATCATTGGAACAAATGTGACATAATTTGGCATAAATGAGAGGCATTTTTCCTTTAATATAGCATCCACCATTCGTCGAGAGCATGATTCAACACTCATGAAGGGGAACCATCTGTTGAAAACAAATACTTTACGTTTTTTAAGTCCTAAATGATCAAAAACAAGAAGCAGCTCTTCTCAATGATTATCGAGCATCAGCCAGAACTCACGTGCTCGTAGGCCTCATACCCAGTTCGAGTACCATTGGTGTACGGGCGAAGTACGGACAAAGCTGCAAATTCATTGTACATAAGTGTAGTAGTGGCTAGTTGCAGAGATTGCGCGGCGTGGGTTAGACATTTTAAAAACTGATGATAAATCCTATCCTAGGAGAAGATAGGGGTCTTGAAGATCTAGTCACTCATAGAGGGCAAGAATTGTACGAAATTGAATTTATGCTAGTCCTTGAGGTCTTAGAAGTGCGCAGGGTTTGCAGGTTAACCTTGGTGATTTCAGATCAATCTGCTTGAAAGGACAAGCTTATGGTTAAGGTGATTCTAGTGTAGCATAGATGAATTACTTAGATTTTGACAGTCTGGGACTTATCATCCAAAAGGACTGAAATAGGAGTAACGATTTTCGTCGTAGTGCCTTTACAAGCGATTCTCAGGCAAACGTGGTAACTCTGCGCCGATCCCACAAATTTTCTAACTATTGGGAAATGATGAGCGAATGAGAGGAGTGTCATAAGACATGTCTTGGACCTTTTAGGGCACATAGGCAAACTATAGCGTGCTAATTTTCACAAAAAAAAAACCTGGAATATTAAATTTTCATGGAAGAAACCAGTTTTTAATCTCTTTATATCATCTTCTAACGATGACTGAGAAAAGCTGAAACGCTTACTGTAGAGCACACGACGCCTTCAATTCCACGATCTCTCAGTTCCATTTGAAGGCACTCCATTACCGCGCGAACCGCAAATTTTGTGGGACTATAAATAGAAAATAAGCGGTCACGCTTATTGTCAAAAAAAGTGAAAATGAATTGAGTGGGATTGGGGAATTGTCGAAGGAAAACATGGACGGCTAATGTTTGCTATACATTAAATTGCAAGTTAAAGCATGCTAAGCTTTAAAAAAATCTTAATTCTGTGATGGCAAATTTCTAAGAAAATCTTTTGCGCTTTGTTAAGTTTGATTTAAACTGCAGTTACGGCAAGCATTTTTTTTGGAAATAAGAGACGAGGAAATTTAACGTATCACCAAAAATGTACGAGTCTACGATTCATTAGACGCTGACAATCATGGGAAGAAACGGCTACCAATATGCAAGTCCAAAAGTCTCTCCAGAAAAGCCAGCAATCGACGAAACTGCAACCACTTGTCCTTCATTTGCTTCAATCATGGGTTTGAGAAATGCACGAATTGTCTAAAAGTATGTATCAAGGATTGCTTTAGATATATTAGACCACCTTCCAGCAAAGTTTCCTAGAGAAGCATGAAGCTGAACTTGTGTTTTCAGTTGTAACAGTTGTCGAGAAGTAATGGTAACAAAATCAATTGTACATTTAAATTAGTGGCAATTAGATGGTTGGTGTTTAACTCAGAAAAGTTCAAATTCTAATCTGGAATTAGCCTGTTATCTTGCTATATTGCTAAGACTTTGCGGTCTTCCCTATAAATCATTAAGTGGATAATGTGGAATGGAAAGAATTTAAGAACTTTACGAAAAGATTTTTTTTGGGAAAAGGTGCCGAATAGTGAACAATGAGAACACTTGGTTATAATAAAATGTGTTAGATGTCTTTTCAGTACGGACATTGATAGAATAATTGATATTATATACTTACATTTATTGTTCCAATAATGTTAACATCTATTGCTTGTCGGAGTTGCTCACTTGGCAACTCTAGAAATGGAGAATATGCTAGAACGGCAGCATTACATATGACAATGTCGACTTTTCCTGTAAATGCTTCGTTCGATCTATCATTCACTCCGTTCATATCATTACTCCTTCTTAGCTTCGCTTTTAAATAAAACATGAAATTCTTCTTTTGCATTCAGACTTATTTGAACTCAATGGTAGACGAAATTTATTCTACTGTTGAAAGGTGTGCATCAGGTAAGTGAAAGAAAATTGTTTTGCTACAATCAGAGTTTATAGAACGTCAAGAAAACGAAAACTAACGGCTTTTTCTATCACTTGGCTTTACAAAGTGAGAACGTTCTATTGCTATATTGACTATTTTTGATAGATATTCCTAAAGTTAACTTAAAGTATTGACTCACAATATATATTCGTTCACTTTTTTTGGAGCTAACATTTTGGCAATAGTTCAGGGTTTTGTAGATAATTTCTACTTATGGCACATTACTTGGCAAAATGTCATGAAGGTCAATGGAAGGCCGAGTGCGGCCAAATCGGTCGCAACTAGTCAGTGGAGGAAAAAAAGAGATTCATAGCAGTTGATGTAGATGAACGAGGAACGTTAGTAAGAAAAGGTCATAAAGTACTAGTTAAATATATTTAGAAAACCTCTACCTATTATGCCACTGAACAGCTCTAAGAAATCTATAGATACTTGTCCAAAAAACTTTATATCTTATCAAATCATGACTAACCATATTTTTCATGAATTTCTGACGCTATCTTCTCCAACTCAGCTTCCTTTCTAATATCGCATTTGAACGCTTCTGCTTGTCCGCCCTCGTTTACTATTGAGGAGACCGTTTCCTTTGCACCATCCTGCACAACGTATGAGGAAAAGATCTATGATTCGAGACAAATATACTAACGATATTGATATCAACGATAATAAGTTTCGCTCTTTTTTCGATAGCTAGAATCTGTGCCATTTTTCTGCCCAGTCCCGATGCTCCTCCGGTTACTACCACAACCTTTCCAGTGACATCCTAAAAAGTTTTGTAGGTCGACTGCAGATATTTTGAATTTGATTACCTTTTGTTTCATTGTTAACCATCTTTTCAGATCTTTAGGAATATCTATCAAAAATAGATGAAGAAGAAGTCCAATTGTATTGAAAAGTTTGAAAGACCATTGATCGTACATTTTCAAAATATTCTGCAGTGCATTTAGTGCTGGAACAGATCATGCGGAACTATAGAAAACGAAAGAAGATTGAAATCTCAAGAATACACGAAGATTAGATTGCCAGAATAATCTAGAACGCGCGATAATGCAGGGCAATCTTGTATCAAGGACGACCTATACCTTGTGTGTGTCCTTGGCGATGTAGTGAAAATTCAGAACATGCAAACGCGTAATCGTTTCTCAAACCATTGTGGTATCTTTTTGTATCAAATTTTTTGCTTATTGTTCATTCGTCAATCATGATTGTGTGAAAAGTTCTCTTCTGTTTTTATGCATGCACTACTAACCCTATTGCAATTTTTTGTGATCTTCGTATAATAATACACAATCAAATATCGATTCTAGACGTATTAAATGCTCAACTAGTTTAGCAGTCATTTGTTTGTGTTGGGAATCTTCAAACTGTTATTTTCAGGCAAACAAAATATCAGAAAATGTTGCTGCATTGAATTGTCATGTTGGGATATTTCACTGTTCAGTGTTCTTAACGAAACTATTTTAGTACTCATTTGCTACACTTCGCAAGCTCTATTAGCTTTTGCTCCCAAGTTTCTTATGATACAGAAACATTAACAACTTATAACAGATCTTTCATTTATGTATATGCAGTTATAGAACAGCTATGTTGCAAGAATGAATACCTCACAAAAACAAGCAAGAAAAGCGCCGAGGCAAAACTTGATGTCAATCTTATCTGAACTA